CCTATGAAAAGTTTGAAAAAATAGGGAAATAAAACATGAAAAATAGAAAGAAAAAAAATAGTAAATGGCCTTTTTTTGAAAATCTAGCTGGGGCCAGACACCATAGAATTTTGGGTTTGATAGATCTCGTTTTTCTACTCAAAATGCATATATAATTTGTCCAGTTCTGACAATCAGAGCAAAAGTTATGGCGTTTGAAGTTTTGGAAAAATCTAGTTTCACAAATTTTTGTATCTCCAAATCTAGACCACCTTGAGGGCCTCTGGTATTTTTCACACAAAATATGGGTTGAAATAAGTTACCACACAAAATTTGAGGCAAAAATTACAAGTCTAGCTATCAAAACCAAAAATCCCAATTAATTGGAAAATTTCGGTTATTATTCATCTGGTAAAAATCCTTTCCAGCTGATTTTTGATTCTACACTTGTGGACCTTGCAAGAATTGAACTCAACACAACACAATGATGATTCAGCACACCAAATGGAATCAATATATAGATGGTTAATGAGCTATAGAATGCAATAAAGAGCAATTATCACAAACACATGACAACAAATGACAGCAAAAACCATATTCGAATTTACTGTTCCATTGGTTTACTAGTTGCATGAGACTCAACAGCATGGGTTCTTCAATTGATATACTTGTTAGACCTGTAGGGACTAATAACAAACACAAATACACAACATAACATGTAGTAAGACACGAAAATGCAAGCATGACCAACCAGATCCTGCTCTATTCTTAGCTACTACTTATCGAGATACGGGGAAAAAGGGAGATTTATGTGTAGTGTTACATGAGGGAATAGGTGGAGAAGAGTTCCTGTGGAATTTTTAATAATTTTATAATTGTTTCTGTTTGGAGAATTATTGGTATTATGAGATTCTATATGTGTTTAAGATTAGGAATATGTAAATAATTTGTAAAAATGATGATTTGGGAATGATGAGTCATTATTTTCCCTTATTTATTTATCTTTTTGTACTTATTTTAATTGTTGTGATGCCTTGTGTTTTAGTGTGTTTTAAACTGAAAAATCTGAACCAAACCCCCCTTCGTGAAATTTCGCAAAAACTTTCTACGAATATTTTTTTGCAAGAATATTTGCAAAAAAATGACACTTTTCTAGTAGTGAGAAAGAGAGAGACATATACAAAATGTAAATGTTTAATTAACTTTGTTAATAAATTAATATTTTAATTAAGATATTTAAAAAAAATTATAAAAAAATAGAGTTCAAATATATTTATTGGTTGTTAGATTAATAATAATTAAAAGTTTAGTTTGTAATTGATTTATGCGTGGGAAATGTTAGTGAAATTAAAACTTCAAATCTTTAATATTTGTGATCATAACATAACCCATTTTAATATGAATTTCTAAAATCAGAAACCCAAAAATATAATTTTTTATTGCTCTCTTTAAATTAAAGTACTTTACACTACACCAAAATTAGGTTTTTGTGGCAATTAATTTATTCTTTAGCGACCATATAAATGGTCATTATTCTTTTTACCAGCATTTAAATAATGACTGATGTATCCAGTGTCGCTAATATTATTACCGGCATTTATATAAAATGCTGGTAAAAACTTACTAAATTGTCGGGAAAACTTATTTTTTTTAGTGGCAATTTTAGTAGCCATTTTAAAGGCTATTAAAAGTTATTTTTTCAATTGTCTCCTTTCCATCCATTTAGTGACTTTTATCTTTTGCTAGTAAAACTTTAAATAATTTATTCTTATAATTTTCTTTTCTAAATTCATAACTTATATACTCTCTTTTTTTATCTCTAATGTGAGATTTGTAAGATGAGGGTTGTCTTCTATTTACATATTTTTAATTTATTTTTTTAATTGTCTTATCTCTTAAGAGATGTGAGATTTATAAGGTGAAAGTTGTTCTCTAATTGTTTTATAGCACTATTGAACTTGGTAATAGTGGGTGATTTGATACTAATTTATTATAGTGAATTAAGAGTCTAACTCAACCCTATAAATCAACTTATAAGGTGATAGTTATTACTCACTTATATACTATTTAATTATCTTATCTCTAATCGATGTGGGACTAATTTTTTTCAATAAATAATTGTCGCTAATAGTAAACTTTAGTGTAATATAAATACACTTTTAGTGACTATTATATATTAGCCATTAATATTTTTATTATATAATTAAATAGCGGCAATTAAATTATTGCTATTAAACAATTATCGTTAAAAATAATTTTTGTTGTAGTGTTAATTTTATCAACAAAGTTCCAAACAAAATATTTTCCTAACTAGCATTATATTTAATTGAGTGAATGTTGCGGGATTTCATGTGAATTCCATATTTAGATTTTCCCCCCTCTATTTTATTACTTGTGATTTTAGTACGTTTGTCAAAATATTATCAATGACGTGTTAAAAATATCATTTGGTTTTTTTTTTATTTTATGCTTTCCTATTTTAATTTTTTTTTGTTTTTTTTTATTAAATTTTAATGAGTCACCTTCTATTCCATAACTTGATTTCCTAACTTGTTCCATAAACTTCTTAACTCTATTTAAGGCCCCTAGTTCCATGTGTGCGTTACTAATTACTATAAGAATTATAGACTTGAGTATTCCTTAATCTCTCTTGAGTTACTTAAGAGAATTATCTCCTTAAACACATTCATTAAGAAAACTCTCTTTATAGCGAGTGTATCCCTTCTTATTTATCTTCTCCATTGAGAAGTGGCACGCCTCACTCTTCTATTCTCTCCATCTTTTCACTTTTTAATTTGAGTTGTGAACCCATGAAAAGTAACTTGAAGAGCTTGGAAACAACTTAGGTAAATTCAACCACCATTCACCAAAGAGTTTCCATAAAAAAAAAAGGTTCAGACTTGTCAATTGTCATTACTCTATGAATCATTTCCGATCATAAAAAAATATAAAATAACTATAATTAAACACAATATTATTGATATAAATTTCATTAACTTTTTATTAATTATTATTCCTTTTATAATATAAAATTATCATATATATTACTTGCTTATACAAATTAAGAAGATCCAAATCTATAGATGCAAAGCTAGATCAGATTTACAGACACACACACGCAATGAACTCACTGAAACACACAACACAACATAACGACAACGAAATCTAAACGTGACTTAAAATGTCATGCACATATATGTCTGAGAAACACTTTGCCACTTGGATGCACTGCATGGCTCGATGAATGATGAATTATTGACAATAACGTATGGTTCAAAGAGTTGGAGTGGGTGAATTTTCATTCATAGGACTATAGGCCATATAATAACGAGCAAGACCAAATAATTGTCCACGGATATTTTTACATAATGCCACAGCCTCAAGTTATTACCCCACATGATACTTTCCTTCCATGAACTACGATGGCTTTAGTCCACAAAAAAAGAAAACAAATTCAAACATAAATTATGGCGGGTATTTTCCTTAATTTATCAATGCTAGCACAACCTCTAATTAAAAAAATTTCCTGGTATGCTTAATAAGAAGGAAAGAAATTGGGTGAATGAAAAATAAAGAAAATAGAAAAAGAATGCATAAAAACAGGTAAAAATAGAGTGAAAATAAAAGTATTTATTTTAAGAAAAATATACGGAAAAGAGAATATAAATTGTATAATAATCAATTATTTTTCTAAAATAATCAATTGGTGGTGCATTTTTAATTGACTAATTTAGATTCTAAACTACTGATTGTGTATATTTAGTGAAACAATCTATTATAACACTCAAACAATTAGTTATCAAAGAGAATTGAGTTATTTCAACGCCATTTCTTATCATCTTTGTGCAAATATATATATTTTTTTTCCGGTAAGACTCATCAAATTTTTTTATTTCTCTTCTAACTATTTCATTTCTATCCAAACAACTCCAACTTTTACTATCCTTCTATTTTCATTCTCTCATCAATTTTTTACCCCTGATTTTACCCCTAAAAGATGTAACGAGATAAATGCACAAAAGAAAGAAGAAAATGAGAAATTGAATGTTTAGAGCAATAAAAAAAGTGAATGAGAATGTGACACATGTACAAATCACTGTTTTAAATATAGTGAATATATTTCATTGGTATATTATTTGTTAACATAAGAAACCTCAAATCCACACAAACACAATACATCAAGTATCATGAACCATACTATATTGTCATCATCAACATGGGTGGACCCTCTATAAGCAGGGACCAGAATACAGAGTTGCTTCCAATCCAAATAAGTTAACAAAATGTAGTGGTCCTGCATTAAGGAAAACTATATCACATCAGCTGCCAGATCCTGGTTTCCGGTGTATTGTTCAACACTTGAAAATATGGCAATTCAACTAAATATCATCTCTGTCGACCGTGTTTGAAGTTGTGGCACAACACACATTTTAACTAGATTGTTGTGTTATATATGAGCCATCAATTTTCAGTGGCCTGAGTGATTATAGCACAAAATAACACCATGTAGTTATCAGAAAGATTTGTCACACTACAATTTTTATTTGTCTGGCGGTGACGAGCAAATAAATTGGAATCAAGCAAATGAATGGATTGTGAATAGCTACAATTGACTTAAGTATGGTTTAAGTGTTGGAATATATATTATAACAAGTGAGAAACAACTTCAATTTTGTTAAATTGAATTAAACTTCAATTCTCTTTCTTAGATGTAGCAATAGAATGCTCACAAAATGAGGAAATACAAACAAGTTAGCATTTTGGAATTTTACAATTTATGAGTAGATACTGCAAAGCAAAAGCACAATTGTATAAAACGAATTTAGTTACTCTAAAATGATTAAGTGTGTAACCTAAAAAAGTAAAGATACGATTATTCTTAATTTAAAATGAATTAAACTTATGGTTTACTTTAATTCAAATCAAAGGTGGATGCACCCTTACTTTCTCACTTTATGGGAGTACATCTTTTTACTTTACAACCGGCAAGCCCAAATAAAAGCATTAAGAATTTCAACATGTATACCGTAAAATATATACGGATTTTCTTTTGAAAACTGCCCGTAAACATCCAATAATGTATTGTCAATAATTAAAAAGTATCACAACCACCACTACACAGGAAGTCTCAACTTTTTTAATAATAAAAACTTTACATTTATAATGTATCAGATTTGATTATTATATTGCATAAATGGAAAGCTTTCAGCAACAAGTAAAACACATATCTGCTAGTGCTAGAGATTTGTTTCTATAATTAAGAGTCTGAAAGAAAGGCTTGCTGGGCAGTCACTGTTGAAGATTTGCATGCATGTATAGCAGTGCATATATCTGTCTTCTCCAGGAATTTTTCAGCATGGTTAAACACCAAGGGTCCATACTCGAAAACCATCCTCTTGCACTGCAAAAAAATTGGAACATTAATGAAAAATCTTGAGTGAATCGATGAAAAGAAAAAACTGGAATAGGAAAATTATGCTCTTGTGCACTTTCTAGTTCACACAACACTGCAAAAGTTCTTAGTTGTGCATACATATTGGCCTAGTTCATGATGCACAATAAAATAAACAGTCCAGATCTTAGAATGATTATCCTTGATTAAAAAATCCTGAGTATCTGATGAAAATTGTTGTAGAGTTTGTTTCTCTAGGAGGTATGAACATACAAAAATTTTCACAGTAGAGTCAATTATTGATGGTAAAGGATTCAGCCAAGTCCACGAAATTATCATTGCATGGAAATTACTGGGACACCAAGCATGTTAATTTCTAATTTGGTCGATAGGATAAAAGTTGAAAATTGAAACTTCGCATGATTGAATACAAACTGAGAAAAATGGAGGGACTTGTCAGGTTTTGCTCACCTTATTCGCATACTTCTCCACTGAATTGCACACCTTCAGTAATGTCTCAATTATCTCTAGCTGAAATTTTAAAATAAATGGTTAGCAATTTACTCAATTAGATTAAGACAATTAAGAGTATGTTTGGATATAAGCTTAAAAGTGCTTTTGAGAACTTTTTTTTACTGAAAGTAACATTTATTTTCAGGGGAGAAACTCTCAAAAGTACTTTTAAATTTATATCCAAACATATTTTAAGAGAATAAAGATGGTAGAAATCTACATATTACATATATCTTTCCTTTTCTTCCACTTGGATATATATTTTTTTATTTCTAATGAAATATTGTGAATATATATTCATATGTTGCTACACCTGAATATTATAATCAAATTTCTTTTTGATTTCCCTGCAACCATAGACATTCTCAAATAAAAGAAAATCTAATTTGCAATGAAATATCCATACAATCATTGCAAAGCTGTGGAAGTCGAGTAGAAGTAGAAACTAAAGAAAAAAATTTCTCATGTCAACACACAATTCACATCATAGTGCCACACTTCGTTGGAGTAGCAGAAAGATGAAGTTACTTACCCTAGTGTCTCTATCTTTCAACTTAGCCAGCAAAGTTGAAACAGTATCTTGGCAAAACTCACAGCTATCTTCTTGAACTTGCAAGGAAATATATGTAACGTGCTGACAGAGATTCACCTTGTGGCAGAACTCTCCAGGCTGAATTGTAGCTAATTCTAAGAAGAAAAGGGGAGCATAATAGTCCACCAAAGCTATGCACTGTTCAATACAAAAGAAACAGATGAATTCATATAGGATCTGATAAATTGTGATTCATTTGCTTATGCTCCCTTTGAAGTCTAAAATGTGTTGATGATTGTGACCAGGTGACTATTGTCTTAAAGACAGTCAACTTATACAAGTTTTCATCAAGTTAGTTCATTGGACATCAAAACTGGGCTTGGTTATTATTTATATGACAAGTTATTATCAGTATCATAGACCATCATCCATTGAGAATGAAGAGGGTGCCAAGAATATTGTTTAAACATTAGAGAGCATAGTGGGAAACTAAAGTTGATTTATTCACAACTAATAACAACTACAGTATCTATACCAAAAAATGAGATCCAAAAGATGACCAACCTTCTGTTTAAAAGAGGCAAGTTGGTGGCAAGTATTGTGCAGGATATCAATGATCTCTTGCTGTGTCTTGTTTTCATTTAGATAATCAACTGCCTTGGCAGTATATTCCTCACAAAGTACACACACATCTGGTTTTCTGCTTGGTTCTGCAATTTAAAGATAGGTCAACATGATGACTTATGCCACATTTGCATTTCAAATCATATTTAACAGAAAATTTTTCAAAGCAAAGTTCCAAAGGTTTGCACATAGTGTTCAGTCAACCCACATGATGTCATCTAAAGGGAAAGTCTTTTGATAAAATTAAAACTCATTAGTCAAGTTTAGAGGAGGAAATGCCATATTGATGTTAGACAAGGTGCTCCATTTCCATCAAGTGATGAGCCTTTGGAAAACAATCAGAGCAGTTCAATCAATAGTGTTTGATGAAAATAGATGTTTTATACAACCACAAATAGAAGTCAGATTAGGAGGAATACCGGGGCTACACATATACCCCCTCCTCCCATAAAAAAATTATACAATGTTAGAACAGATCTCTAATCAAACTTAGCAATCTGCCTCTATTCCAAAACATGAGCCATTATCTATGTCTTCATGTGACACGATATATCTCCCATGTCTTCACCGTATCCAACTTTTCACATTGGTCTCACTAGTATAGGACTTCTCAACCAAAGCATCCAGCAATTGTAGGTGTGGAGAAGGTGGACTCGAGATCATATTATGAGTTGGTTCATTCAAGAGACCTTATCTTTAGACTAACACACCCACAATAATGTCACATAAGACATGTTTGGATAAACTTCTCTAGAAACACTTTTAAATATTAAAAAAAAAAAAATAGTAGGAGAGAGCTTCTACAAATTGAAATAAGCTTCTGCATAAGTTAAAACTAACTTATGTACATGAAAAAAAAAAAAAAAGATTTTAGAAAAGTTAGTAGGAGAGAGCTTCTACAAAATAATCTATTTCATTTTCCCTTGTTTTTTTTTTTCTTATAAAAATGCTTCTAAAAATGTTTATCCAAATAGACCCATAATTATTGGTCACTTCTACCATAATAGTGTATCCTTAAAAATAAAGTCTCGTATTTATTGATCTAAAAACATATAACATAAACTTTCCAATTGTCCTTTAATTAACCAAAGTATACTCTTTTTTCTTGTGGGAATGGGAACCCAAGTTTACTTTATCATAACTGATTGATGCCAGTTTCTGAATAAATGCTTTCTCCATTGATGGCCTTATCTGAAAGTATACACTATACGGCCATTATTTTTTCCCTTCATTGTTGAGAAGGAGGGGATTTAGCAGATCATGTTACCACCAGACTTTTCAAGCTTTATGAAATGACTGATTTGATGAGGTTCACTGTTGAACTATAATACTAATCAATACTGTATCCCATTCTCTTGCCACTTATTATTTTAGATTATCCCACAAAATTAGTTACCTCGATAATTTCAAACTATAAACGTTTCACCTTGTATTTTGATCTGATTTTACTTTTGACAATTGATTAGTTGTCATTGGAAGCATTTTTTTTAATTGATGATGGGTAAAATCTTTTGCATAATCAACCCCCCAGTCAAAAACTCAATTTTCACGTTCACTAAAACAGATTAATAAATGGGGGGATTGAAAATGTCATGTACAATATATGCCTCTACTCTATCATCTTCCGAAGCAGGATAATTAAAAATTGTTTAAGGCTCAAAATGAACAATATCATATTAATGTGGAGACGTGTTTGGAGACCCCAAGTGTACAACAAAAACAAAGAAAGCCAAGAATGAAATAAGCGAACAACATTACCATAAATCCCAGTGTTTGCTGTATTGCTCAATTGATCAGTGTTAGCCAGTTTTCTTGCATCACAAGCCCAGGCAGCACCCAATACAACAAGAAACAAGAGTCCCAATCTCCCTTCCATGGTTACTATAACAAAAGCAATTTATTTTTAAATGACAACTTCAATCAGGGAAAAGGTAGAAAATTAAAATTTCAGGGCTATTATAAAGGAAACCATTAAAATAAAGATCTTATATTCCAAACATTTATTAATAAAACAATAACCGAATGAAGGGCATATCAAATGATGAAGTCATTTTGATAGAATAACGTCATCAATTAAGTATAATTTATTCAGACACTTGTAGAAATATATACCATATTGGATTTTAGCAGAAAGGAGTACACAGACAAAAGAAGAAAAAGGCATATTAAGAATTAGGACCATAATATTTTTATGATGTTATACTCGTAAATCACCTTATGCACTTCAAAAATTACGAGGCACAATTCTTAATTGACTTGGTATAATCAAGCCAAAAAAAAAATACAATTAATTCAGTTCATGCTCTCCGCCCCCCACGGAAAAGAAAATCCTGGAAAACAGATAACAGAAACTGATAACAATGATTGAAATTTTATCCGTTAGCCAGAAACTGATAACAGATAAAAATGTTATCAGTTTTTAAGTTTTACAGGTAACAGAAAATCCTGAAAAAACATATAACAAAACCATGAACCAACTATCAAAACTGAAAATCTGGCTGAGAACAGAATTGAAGTAGTAGCAACTAACTAGCAAGGCCAATTGAGACAAGAACAAACAAAAGCTGAATGCATGACACAAAATGGGGAAAAAAAGAGAGTAGTGGGTGGGTAAGTAAAGAGAAAAAAAGTTACAATTTTTCTGAGTGATCTTAATTGGAAGCAAAGTGAAGAAGGAATGAAGAGAAGAAGGATTACCTTAATTTTGTGGAAAGAAATAATGAGGAGAAGAATGGAAAGGTGGTAGTGATGATTCCTTAGAGTGGCGTGTTGGTTGATCCAAGGAATGGTTGGTTTGCAATCTTCACTTTCTTAGGTTGGTTTGGTTGTACTTCAATGCTACTTTCCTTGAAACTTGAGAAAAACTTGGGTGTGGGCAGCCTCATCGAGAGGATTGTGTGCCTTACACTTTGTCATTACGTGGCAGAATCGAGGAGGGTGATGTACTCTCTCCCCAAAGAAATTCTGCCAAAATCATTAATCTTAAATCTTACGCAATCACCTTCTCTTACTTTCTATTTTATTTTAACTTGTTCTACCAAAACAAAAACTACATTTTAAATTTAATAAAAACAAGTACGTACTATAAACTTGTATTTATATATATATATATATATATATATATTTTTTTTTTTTTTGGTTCGTCTATGAAGTATCAACTGCCGATAGCAGTGACTAATCTCCTCGCTACGTTGGAGGTACCTCAAAGTTGGAGGTACCTCAAAGTTGGAGGTACCTCAAAGGGTGAGACAGCTGACCCCAAGATTTAATGCGGCTACATACACAAGGCAGAATTCGAACCCCTGACTTTGTTTAAGCGTGGATCAACCCCTAACGCTGAACCATACGCTTGAGGTTATATATTATTTTTTTTTTTACATTGAGAGCGAAAAATTTAATCAAATGTGTCCATTTTAGTTGGCTTATATATTTAAAATTTATAATGAATAAATATTTTTAATATAAAATCATATTATAACTAAAATACATAATAAATATTTTTGAATATATAAATTATATTTTAAATTTATAATAAATAATTTATGTTATGAGATAAGCACTTTTAAGATAATATTAATAAAATAAAAATGATAAATTAAAAAATAATTAATTAAAGATATGAGTATACGGATAAAGGTTAAAGGATAGTGATTTCGGATATGTTAGTTGTTAAATCAAATTATATTTAAAAAAATAAATTTGTTTGCTAAGTTGGAGGCACTTCAAAGGGTGAGATAGTTAGTCCCAAGATTTAACGTGGCTGCATACACAAGGTAGGATTCGAACCCCTGATCTTGTTTAAGCATGGATCAACCTTTACTGCTGAAC